TGGACATTCTTAATGCAGATTAAGATCAAAACAATAATTATATTGTTAACTCACATTAAACTTACTGTTCACTAACCCCCAAGACATAACCTTAATGACCAACCCAAAACCCCAACGATAACTTCAACACCATTGAGCCTTTTTCATAATCTAGATTTTTCAACTTTCATCATTTTTGTTGCCTTTGGGGGAATTTTATCTAAGTGTCCATGCCTCATTTTGGGCAATTGGGTCCAAAGTAAAGAAAATGTTTTTTTAAAAGTGTCACAGTGTTTAACATAGTAGAAGAATTTCCTGATGGTTAGTGCATATATATTTCTGTTCATAAAATTCAATAAAATAAATAGAGCTTGGACTTTATCAGCCTTATAACTGATTTATTTCAGCCAGAGTGGGCTAGATACTTCATGGGGCTCATCTTGGAGAAAAAATGTCCTTTTTTAAATTTAATCCACATGAACAGTGATCACAAGTTCAGTGACCAATAAATACTCTGGCCAAATTTCTGGACTCCAGATGAAAACTTTGGGCAAAAGAAAACCTGCAGCATATTAGACTCCCTGTAAAAGTTACATTTATATGAAATGATTTGGTGGTCTTAGGAAGGAGTGAAGTGGTGGGAGGAGCAAGGCAAAGGAGACCAGATGTGAACATAATCAAAAACACCATTACACTTGGCACTAAAGGATACCTTTGTTAGAAAGAGTAGCAAAGAATCAAGGATTTTGTGAATAAAAATATGCCATCACCCTGAAACTTCTAAAGAAGATCTTTGAAAAGCAGAGTAGAAATACAGCTTGAATGGGACTAAACAAATGTAAACTATATTAACTATACATAACTACAACAGTGCACATTTAGTGAAGAGAGGAAAATCAATAAATGAAGGAAAGTCCAAGTCATATAATGGTAAAATTAGACAATATACCTTAGGGATCATCTAGGCCTTATTGACTATGATAAACTAAAGTAAATCAAGACCCAAGGACGTATATTTGCTTATAGGGCTACCACTTTTAGCTATACCCACACTTCTCTATAGTCCCAAAATATCTGAAATTCTAACCTAATATGGTAACAATATTACACCAAGTCTCCAAATGCTAAAAAATCTCCGTGGTGAAATATACAATCATTTAAAAGAGGTGAATCCAACCATCCAGACAGAAAAACAAAGTGGATGAAAAATACAAGAAGCAGAATGAGGCCAAAGGCCTTACCCTTCTTCCTTTGGCCTATGAGCAACAGATCAAAGGCCACAACTCAGTCCAATTTCAAAGGGCAGTGAGAGAGGTAGGAGCTATGGCTCGAGACTGCACAGAACATCTACTTTCTTGACATAAATGCCCAGAGATAGGGGGTGTTTTCCTCCTTGCATCCCTAAGCATTCCTAGGAGAGAGTAGGTTAAGGGAACAAGTCCCCAAACTTTAAATCCCAGCAAATGCCAGGATGCACAACTCACTACAGTTTGTCAGGATGATTTTCTCTTCAATCACACAATCCTCTGTCCCCCTCTCCACCTATCACACATTTTTCCATCAGCAAAAACCTCCCACTTCCATTCCAGTCAACCTAAAAATAATTCCTCACTACAAAAAAAAAAAAAGGCAGCTAGGTGGCAAAACGGATAGAGTGCCAGACCTGAAGTCAGGAAGACTCATCATCTTCCTGAGTTCAATTCCAGCCTTAGACACTTACTAGCTGTGTGATCCTGGGCAAGTCATTTAACCCTATTTGGCTCAGTTTCCTCATCTGTAAAATGAGCAGGAGATGGAAATGGCAAACCACTACAGCATCTTTGCCAAGAAAAACCCAAATGTGGTCATGAAGAGTCAGACATGACTGAAAAATGACTTGAACAACAACAAAAAAGTAGAGGCTCACTGATCTAGTTGACCCTGTGAATTTTACACGTGAGGAAACTGAGACCCACTGCAGTTAAGGAACTTGCTATGGACACAAAAACACAGAGTCCTATTTCCTGGCCTCTTCCTGCCTATAGGGTGAGAGACACCACTTCAGTAACTACACTCTCCTCCCTTGCCCATCTTGACCCCTTCGTGAACCAGTTCAACTCTACATTGTCCTCTTCTCTTGATTTCTTTGCACTTTATCCTATCGTCGATCTTGCCTTGCCAAGCCTCTGCCTTGGATTACTCTCATCATCTGCTCACTACCTTTGTTCCTACTCACATACTTCTGAACAAAACCAGAAAAAAAAATCATAAAACCATGCTGATTGGATATACTACTAACATATGTTACGTAATTTCAACTGGGTCTTCACTGTGGCAGGGCAATCCTTTAACACCTTATTAATTGACTCAATTATCCCATCACAATGGCTTTCCCAAATCTTTCCGTCCCTACTCAAACCTCTCATGGTTCTCCTTCCTCCCATTTCTGCTGAGATCTTTATATTCATATATTACTTAAGAAATTGGGGTCATCATCCGATAGCTCCCTCATCTCCTCTTCTCCTCATCTCACATCACTCAGATGCTTTCTATTTCCATCTCCTCCTGTCTCACATGATGAGGTAGGTGGCCTTCCTCCTTGACAAGGCTTACTCCTACCCTTGTAAAAACGATCCCATTCCTTCTCATCTTCTCCAGAGGACTGTCCCATCTATTATCCCTGCTCTCTTACTTATCTTCATTCTCTCCCTGTCTGCTGGATGTTTCTCTATTGCCTGCGAGCACACGCGTGTCTTCCCCTTCCTCAAAAAGCCTCACTTGAAGCAGCTATTTTTGTGGTGGCAAAGAATTGGAAATTGGGGGGATGCCCATCAACTGCGGAATGAATGAACAAGTTGTGATATATGATTATAATGGAGTACTATTGTGCTATAAGAAATGATGAGCAAGATAATTTCAGAAAAACCTAGAAAGACTCACATGAACTAATGCGGAGTGATGTGAGCAGAATCAGCAGAACATTGTACACATAAACAGCAACACTATACAATGAACCACTATGAATGGCTTGGCTATTCTGAGCATTACAACGATCTAAGACAGTATCAAAGGACTCATGATGAAAAATGCCATCCACCTCCAGAAAAAAAACTGATAGAGTCTGAATACAGACCAAAGTATATTTTTCACTTTCTTTCTTTTCTTTTCTTTCCTTTTTTTTTTTTGGTTTGCATTTTCTCACACAAAATGACTAATATGGAAATATGTTTTATTACATGATTGCACATGTATAACCTATATCAGATTGCTTACCATTTTAGGAAGGGGAGAGAGGAAGGAGGACGGGAGTGAATTTGGAACCCAAAAATTTTTTAAAGGCCATTAAAAATTATTTTTACACATAATTGGGGAAAAAATATTATTAAAAAAAAATACCCTCTCCCCCCAAAAAACTCACTTGATCTATCCATCTTCAGTAACTGCCATCTCGTATCTTCCTTTTCGTGGCTAAACTCTTTGAGAAGTCTTTCTACAACAGATGCCTCCATTTCCTTTCCTCTTACTCTTTTCTTAACTATCTCCACTCAAGTAATTACCCTCATTATTTACCTCTCTCCAAAGTTACTAGTGATCTCTTTATTTCCAAATCTAGAGACCCTTTCTCAACCCTTATTCTTCTTGACCCCTCTACAGCCTTTGACAATGTTGATCATTCTCTTCTCTCTGATACTCTCTTCCCTCTGGGTTTCTGAGACACTGCTCTCTTCTGGTTTTCTTCCTACCTATATATCTATATTTCTTTATAGAGATAGATATATACATATGTACATATATATATCTCGCTCTCAGTCTCCTTTGCTGGATCTGCATACAGGTCATACCTACTAATGGTGTATGTCCCCTAGGGCTCTGTCTTGTGTCCTTTTCTTTTCTCTGTCCATAGTGATCTCATCAGCTCTCAAGGATTAAATTATCGTCTCTACCCTAATGATTCTCATAAGTATTTATCCAGCCTTTGTGTTTCTTCTAACCACATGACATCTTGAACTGGATGTCTAACATTCAGTATGCCGAAAACTGAACTCAATATCTTTTCCCCCAAACCCTCCTTTCTTCCTAAATTCCCAATTACTGTTGAGGTCATCACCACCTTTCATTTACCCAAGGTAGCAACCTATGTATAATTATTAACTCCTCACTCTCATTTCCCATATTCAATCTTTTGCCAAGTCCTGTCAAATTTACCTTCATAACATGTCACATACATTCTCTTTTCTCCTCTGACAGTGCCACTACCTTGGTGAAAGATCTCACACTTGGACTATGATAACAGTCTGCTGGTCATTCTCCCTGCCATAAGTCTCTCCTTCCTCTGGTTCATCCTCCACTCAGCTGTCAGACAGATGTTGCTAAAGCAAGGTGTGACCATGTCACACCAATCCCTCCACACCCCATTTAATAAGCTCCAATGGCTTCCTATCACCTCAAGATTCAATTACAAAACACTCTGTTCGGCATTCAAAGCCCTTCATAGCCTGGACCCCTCCTATCTCTTCAATCTTGTTACACCTTACATCCCCTACAAACATACTCTTTGATCCAGTGATACTGCCCTCCTTTGCTGTTCCCCACACAATACAGATTAAGTAGCTAGGTTAAGCAATGGATATAGTATTGGACCTGATTTCAGGAAGGACCTGAGTTCAAATCTAGCCTCCGATATTTCCTAGCTGAGTGACCCTGGGCAAGTCACTTAACCTCTGTCTGCCTCAGTTTTCTCAACTGTAAATGAAGATAATAATAGAACCTACCTTTCAGGGTTGTTGTAAGGATCAAATGAGACAATATTTGTAAAGTGCTCTGCACAGTACTTGGTACATAGTGGATGCTTAATAAATAAATGTTCCTTTTCTTTCCCTTCCCCCCACCTCTTGGCTCTGGGCATTTTCTCCTGCTCTTATTAAACAAACCTTGGGTTGGAGTTCCTTAGCTATGATGACTCACATTCATAATGGCTTGGAAAAAATGGGTTATATTATTTCCTCAAGGGTGTATTATTCACCAAGAACCTATGCACCAACCTAGAGTCTGCCCTGGAAGATGGAAAAGATGTCACAGTTGACAGTTCATTTGATGAACAGGGTTCCAGCTTCACCTCTCTCCAGGACCCAACTGCAATTGCGAAGGTAGATGCTGGCATTGGCATGGTTACATAGTAATTCCAGCTCAAGCGCCCTACAAACACGAAGAGAACACTGGGTTACATAAGTACAAACAATGGTCCTAAAAGCTGTATTTCTTCTCCATTAAACACAGTTGAAGAGATTAGTATGACAAAGTAATAAAAGTAGCTCATTTCAACTACAAGGATGTTATCTTGGATTCAAAGTGGCTTACCAACTTGATGTCAGAGATACCTATTAAGCTTAAGCCTTTTCTTTTTTCAAAAATTTAATTTAATTTTTAAATTAACACAATTTATTTTCTCTTTCTCCCCTCTCCCTTCACCCCCACTGGAAATTTAAAAAAAAAAGAAAACCTTTTTAATAAATATGTATAGTCAAGCAAAACTAATTCCCAAATTGAACATGGCCAAAAATGTTTGCCTAATTCTACATCCTGAATCCACCACCTTTCTGTCAGGAGGTACTTCATCTTGGTTCTCTGGAATCATGATTGATCATTGTATTGATCAAAATTCTTACATCTTTCAAAGTTCTTTTTTTCACATTTTAAATGTCTTTATGAATGTCTTTTGTTTTGAGTATTACCATACTTTTCCCCTCATTCTCCCTCCCAGAGAGCCATCACATATACCACATATTTTAAAGATTCAAAAAGAAAAAGAAAAATCTGCATAACAGAGCAATACATTGATTTTTTTTTAAGGCAATTGGGGTTAAATGACTTGCCCAGGGTCACACAGCTAATAAGCATCAAGTGTTTGGTCTGAGGCCAGATTTGAATTCAGGTTCTCCTGACTTCAGGGCCGATGATCTATCCACTGTACCACCTAGCTGCCCCCAACATTGAAAATTTTTGACAACAGTTGCAATGAGCAAAATGCATTGGACATCCTATGTCTGGAAAAGACTAGGTTGGGAATGTCTTCTAGAATCTCTTTTTTCAAGTTATGCTTCTTTTTTGTGATTTTTCTCTTTTGATATTTTCACTCTGTGTCAATTCATGTAAGTGGTTCCAGGTTTTTCTGAAGTCTGCCTGCTCATCATTTCTTATAGCACAATAGCATTCCATTACATTCACATACCACAACTTATTCAGCCATTTCCCAATTGATAGGCATCCCTTCAATTTCCAATTCTTTGCTACCACAAAAAGAGCTGCTATAAATGTTTTAGTACATGTGGGTTCTTTTCCCTTTTTTATGATTTCTTTGGGATACAGACCCAGTAGTGATATTACTGGATCAAAGGGTACACACAGTTTGGTTGTCTTCTGGGCATAGTTCCAAGTTATTCTCCAAAGTGGTTGGATTAGTTCACAACTCCACCAACAATACATGAATGTTCCAGTTTTTCCACATCTTCTCCAACATTTATCGTTTTCCTTTTCATCAATGGCCAATCTGATGGTCAATTAGCCAATCTGATTAATTTGCATTTCTCTAATCAATAGTGATTTAGAGCATTTTTTTCATATAATTTGAGATAGCTTTCATTTCTTCACCTGAAAACTTCCTGTTGATATCCTTTGACCATTTACCAGCTGAGGAATGACTTGTATTCTTATAAATTTGACTCAGTTCTCTATATATTTGAGAAATGAGGCATTTATCAGAAAAAACTTCCTGTTTTCCTTCTAATCTTGGTTACATTGATTATGTTTGTGTAAGAACTTTTATGTCTAAATCATGTACCCATTTTGATCTTATCTTGGTATACAGTGTAAGATGCTGGTCTATACCTACTTTCTGCCATATTGTTTTCCAGTTTTCCCAGCAGTTTTTGTTAAATAGTGAGTTCTTATCCCAGAAGCTGGGGTCTTTGGGTTTACCAAACAGTAGATTACTATAGTGATTGACTACTGTGTCTTGGGTACCTAACCTATTACACTGATCCACCACTATATTTCTTAGCCAGTACCAAACAGGTTTGATGCTTTATAATATAGTTTTAGATCTGGTATAGCTAGGCCAATTTCCTTCACATTTTTCATTAATTAGCTTGATATTCTTGACCTTTTGTCCTTCCAGATGAATTTTGTTATTATTTTTTCTAGCTCTATAAGATAATTTTTGGTAGTTTGATTGGTATGGTACTAAATAAGTAAATTAATTTAGGTAGAATTGTCATTTTTATTATATTAGCTAGGCCTACCCATGGGCAATTGATATTTTTCTAATTGTTTAGATTTAACTTTATTTATGTAAAAAATGTTTTGTAATTGTGTTCATATAGTTCCTGTGTTTGTTTTGGCAGGTAACTCCCAAATATTTTATATTGTCTACAATTATTTAAATAGAATTTCTCTATCTCTTGCTGCTGTGCTTTGTTGGTAATATACAGAAATGCTGATGATTTCTGTGGGTTTATTTTATATCCTGCAACTTTGCTAAAGTTGTTAATTATTTCAAGTAGCTTTTTTAGTTGATTCTCTAGGATTCTCTAAGTATACCATCATGTTATCTGCAAAGAGTGATAGTTTTCTTTCCTCACTGCCTATTCTAATTCCTTCAATTTCTTTTTCTTCTCTTCTTACTAAAGCTAACATTTCTAGTACAATATTGAATAAGAGTGGAAATAATGGGCATCCTTGTTTCACCCTCCATTTTACTGGAAATGCTTCTAGCTTATCCCCATTGCATGTAATGCTTGCTGATGGCTTTAGATAGATGCTACCCATCATTTTAAGGAAGACTCCATTTATTCCTATGCTCTTTAGTGTTATTAATATGAATGGGTGCTGTATTTTGTCAAAAGCTTTTTCTGCAGCTTTGAGATAATCATATGATTTCAACTAGTTTTGTTATTGATATGGTCAATTATGATGATAGTTTCCCTAATATTGGACCAGCCCTACATTCGTGGTATAAATCCCACCTGGTCACAATGTGTTATCTTTGAGATAAAGTGCTGTAATCTTGGCTAATATTTTATTTAAAATTTTTGCATCAATACATTAGGGAAATTGATGTATAATCTTCTTTCTCTGTTTTGACTCTTCCTGGTTTAGGTATCAGCACCATATTTGTGTCATAAAATAAATTTGGTAGAAATCCTTCTTCGCCTATTTTTCAAAATAGTTTATAGAGTATTGGAATTAATTGTTCTTTAAATGTTTGGTAGAATTTACTTGTAAATCCACTGGGGTGGGGAGATTTTTTTCTAAGGGAGTTCATTGATGGCTTGTTCAATTTCTTTTTTCAAAATGGGGTTATTTAAATATTATACTTCCTCTTCTGTTAATCTGGGAAATTTAGATTTTTGTAAATATTCATCCATTTCACTTAGATTGTCAGATTTATTGGCATACAGTTGGGCAAAATAGATCTTAATTATTGCTTTAGTTCCCTCTTCATTGGTGGTGAATTCGTCCTTTTCATTTTTGATGCTAGTAATTTGGTTTTCTTTTTTTTTTAATCAAATTAACCAAAGGTTTATCTACATTATTGGTTCAGCTCTTAGTTTCATTTATTAGTTCAACAGTTTTCTTTCAATTTTATTAATTTCTCCTTTGATTCTCAGAGTTTGGTTTTTATTTGGGGATTTTTAATTTGTTCTTTTTCTAGCTTTTTTAGTTTCATGCCCAATTCATTGATCTCCTCTTTCTCTATTTTATTCATACAAGCATTCAGAGATATAAAATTTCCCCTAAGGACTGTTTTGGCTACATCCCATAAATTTTGGCATGTTGTCTCATTATTGTCATTCTCTTTGATGGAATTATTGATTGTTTCTACACATTAGGATTAGATAATTTTCTTTCTTTCGGATTAATAGATTATTTAGTTTCTAATTAATTTTTAATTTATCTTTCCATGGGCCTTTATTACGTGTATTTTTATTGCATCATGATCTAAAAAGGATGCATTTAATATTTCTGCCTTTCTGGATTTAATTGTGAGGTTTTTATGCCATAATACATGGTCAATTTTTATGTAGGTGCCATGTACCACTGAGGAAAAAGGTATACTCCTTTCTATCTCCATTCAATTTTCTCCAGAGGTCTGCCATATCTAACTTTTCTAAAATTCTATTCACCTTTTTAATTTATTTCTTGTTTATTTTGTGGTTAGATTTATCTAGTTCTGAGTGGGGGAGGCTGAAGTCCCTTCCTGGTATAGTTTTGCTATCTATTTCTTGCTGTAACTCACTTATTTCTCCTCTAAGAATCTGGATATTATACCACTTGTTGGACATATGTTTAGTACTGATATTACTTCATTGTCTATGGTATATTTTACCAAGATGGAGTTTCCTTCGCTGTGTCTTTTAATTAGATCTATTTCTGCTTTTGCTTCGTCTGAGATCAGGATTGCTACCTCTGCTTTTTTTTTTTCTAACTTCACCTAAAGCATAATATATTCTGCTCTGGCCTTTTACCTTTACTCTGTGTATATCTCTGCCTCACATGTATTTCCTGTAAACAACATATCACAGTATTCTGGTTTTTAATCTGCTCTGCTCTCTGCTTCTGTTTTATGGGAGAGTTCATCCCATTCACATTTACAGTTATGATTATTAACTGTATTTCCTTCCATCCTATTTTCCCCATTTATACTTCTCTCTCTTCTTTCACTCTTTTCCCTCCTCACTAGTGTTTTGCTCCTGACCACTGCCTCTCTCAATCTGCCCTCCCTTCTATCAGGCACCCTTCCTTTTCTTTCCCCTTTCCCTCCTACTTCTGCCCTTTGTTCTATCAGCTCCTCCCTCCCTTTTCTTTCCCCTTTCCCTTCCTACTTCCCTATGGGTTAAGATAAATTTCTATACCTGAGTGTGTATGCTATCCACTCTTTGTGCCAAATTTGATGAGTAAGGTTCAAACGATGCTCATCCCCTCACTTCTTTCCCTCTACTGTACTAGGTCTTTTGGGCCTCTTCATATGGTGTAATTTACTCTATTCTGCCTCCCTCTTTACTCTTCTCCCAGTACAATCATTTTTAACCCCTTAATTTTTTTGTATCATCAATCAAAGTCAACTTATACCCATGCCCTCTATGTATATTCCTTCTAACTCTCTTAATAGAGATACAGTTCTAAAGAGTTATAAGCAT